GACCTACTTATAGGATTCACCTGAGTACATTGATGCACCTTCTTTCTGGTCAGGAATTCAAAAGCTTGGCTGTCTAATGCTCCTAAAGTGACCAGTTCTTGTGACATGTGCCATATGGCCACTGTCTCATGAAAGTAGGCAGGGAGTGGAAGTTAGGTCAGTCATGAAGGGAGGAGAAAATATTCTGGAAATGTTGATCTCTTTCTTCTCCTTTTTATGTAAGATGTGGTTTCCCCAAAGAAACAATATGAAAAATGAAAGTGGGGGTCCCAACCCACAGAAGCCTATTTTAACCCACATTGTTACTGACTATATTCAATTTAATTTAGCTCAAATCAACACGGAAGATTTTTTTTTTCCTGCCAGGAAGGGGAGGAAGGCTTTCAGGGTGACTCAAATGATGCCATTTAGAGTTTTCACTGAGCAAGGCAAAGTGTCTGTGTGTGTGTGTGTGTGTGTGTGTGTGTGTGTGTGTGTGTGTGTGTGGCAGTAGAGTGAAAAAGATGAATGAACTGTGTCAGCTGCCCTCAAAGACCTCACGCTGCAGTTGGAGAGACACATACTCAACTAATATGCACAATGATAGTGATCAAAGTGTTGTTAGACCAGAGAATAATAGAAGTACTAGTTCTGAGTGAGAAAATCTAAAAGATTGTAGAATATGTGGCAGTTGTCCCTTGAAGGATGTTAGGGTATTAATCAGCAAAGGGGATAAAGCAGGGTGGACATTTGAGGCAGAGGAAGTGGAGGGGCAAAGGCTCAGCGTAGTTAGCTGCAGGGCACAGCCAGAGAACAGCCAAAAAGCTGCTGCAGAGGATAGGAGGTGGGATGGAAGAGCATAGGGGCAGGTGGGCCTTTTTAAGTTGGTCTGATGGTCTAAATACTTACATAGAAGGTAACTGTCCATACTTTTCATGTTGAATTACAGGCATGTTGCATTTCAAAAGTTTAATTCTTCTAAGCAAATCTGCTCTTGTCTTAAACCGAAGAGTTGTCTCATATATACTATCTCATTATCATGAAAAATAGAACGAACATTGCAAAAATATTTGTTACATTTAACTTTCTAGAGGTATATTTGTCAAAAAGCCACATAAGAATTGTTTTAGTAGCTTTATGCAGTGTTTCATAGCCAGGCCATTCTGTCACACTCACTGTACTTTCCAATGGATAAAGCATGCAAAACCTTGTGCTGTAGCTGAGGATACCAAGTTTGTAGGCTTTAACATGAAGAGGAGGAATAAAGGGAAAAATGAAGAAAGGATCTCTAACATTGGGTCAGGCCCAGGAGTAACTTGCCAAAGACAATGGAGATCTGACATTAGTGCCTGCTCTTATTTGTGTGAGTACCTGGACAGCATTGTGGATAAACTTTCTTTTGGGTGGCCGTGGAGTGAGGACCCTGTGGTAGGAAGTGAGAAATCAAGGACGTGATCTCTGACTCCATGGTGTTTACATGATTTTATGTCATCTGAACAGCAGGCTGAATGGAATTCAGGTCTTTATTGAGATATTTGGTCGAGCCAAGCATTTGTTCACATCTCCATCTTCAGTTTAATTTTTCCAGTGAGGAACTGTAACAGACACCTCATGGGTAGAGTCTATTGAATTCCTGAAATTCCTTCATTTGTAAGTCACTAATAGATAACAATATACATACATATTAAATAAATTATAAAATATATGGTGAGATACTTTAAGAAAATGCTTTTGAAATATTACAAAGTAATTGTTATTATCTATGTCTATTTTTCATTTCGCTTATTCAACATGTTGTTCTTGAAGACTGATACCACTGTATCTGATTTTGAAATACACACTAGTGGTATCTTAACTGGGGAAATGTCTCATCTCAGTCTTATAAATACTGGCTCCAGTCCTGAGGGGGACCTTTTCGATGAAGCATTATTTTGTCTCTTACCCTATGTCTTGCATCTACATGGGTGAAGAGAATATCGACAACAATATTGAACTTTTGATCATTTACCCCTTTCTGCCCCCTCACTGGCACCTATAAGGAGGTAGCTTTTCAGTTGTAAATTTTCACCTCTATGGGTAAATGACAAGTAATGTAGCTGTGTTACCATCAATAGAAAAAAATTATATGAAACCATCCTAAAACAATATCTGGCTAGCAAGAAGGAATGGCATGATAACTTATAGTACATCACTAAAATGGCATATTACACAATTGTTAAATGATAATTGGGAACACTGCATAGAAACATGAAAGGATACTTAGGATATAATTAAAAGAGAAAAGAAGAACACCTGATTATAATACGTAAGGTATATATGCATGTGGAGGAGGCCTGGAAGGTAATACATTAAAATGGAAATACAGTAGTTCTGTTAGGATGGTGGGACCATGGATTTTCAAAGAAAATATTTTAGTGTTATAAAATAATAGTAGTAATTATTAGTAATTGTTAAAATATTAATTCAACAAATAAATGATGCTGCAGGTGCAAAAGGGAGGTATTCATAAATAAGTAGAGGTTGATATTACAAAAGGGAAAGCAGATTTAAAAGAACAAATATTCCTTCTCTACATTTGCCAGCTCAGTGGATATTAAGATCTATAGTACTGAAAACATTTTCAAAGGAGATGGTTGGTGGGGTTTGGAAGAAAGTCTGAACTTGATTATATCTGGATTTTGTTTTCCATGATAATTGCAATAGAAACAAAATCTTGAAACAGTTATCTAAATATGCTCCAGCTTAGGTATCTTGAATTCATTTTTTGGAATTAAGAAACAATTTGGAAAGAGAACCCACATGCATAATAAATAGTAATATTGAGCAAGAGAAATTCAAGAGGGAAAATTTCAAAAATAAAATACCTATTTAAAATCAAAGTTGAAATGACTATTTGGATTAACAGGAAATTTAAAAAAATAACTAATGACTACTTAAATTTATATCTGTCTGAAAGCTCTTAAAGGATATCAAGAACAATCTTCATGTCTGTGATGTTAATATTAAGAATTTGCTAAAACTGTTGATTGGAATGAATTGCTCTGTTTTCCTCTAAGAGGCCCAAATACTTTTCTTTCCTTATTTTCCTTCTCTTCCACCTCTGTTCAAAAGAATGACCTACCTTGAATAGGACTTAACAAGTGTTGATTTGGGGCTCTAGGCTACCTTGTTCTATATTAAGAGAGGGTTATTTAATATAAGATGTCAAGAAAAATTCACACAGATACCTGAAGTTTATCTTAAGTAGTTGGATGGAAGAAGAAACCTGAGAAGTTTCTTCTGAAATAGAACTTGAAAATGTGACATATGTTATGTCTTTACAGTAGTAGTTGAGTTTGGATTTGGAAATTGGTGGTGGTGGGTGGGGGGCACTGAGGAGAATGTGTGTGTGGTACCAAAGAGTTTGAGCTGGCTTCAAGAAATTAGAAGTAACTTCACTGAGCCTCAAACCATGCCTGACGCTACCAGCACCTCTTTTTCAGACTTGCTGAATCTCTGTGAATCTCTATCTCTGTTTTGCTGTCTCCTTTTCTCTAAAAATGTCCACAAATGGCAAACAAATTAGAGGAGTTTTTATTCCTAAGAGTTATCCAGTAATCTTTGCATTCCTATAAAGATGATTTCTATCTTTCAAAATGCATTAGAATTATTAAGAGATCCTGTGATTTTAGGAAACTATTTTCCTCCATGCCAAGTCCAAAGTAAATTACATTTGATACAAGTATATGTATTAGATTATTTGGGAGCTATACCAATACTGAAAAAATTTTACTCTTTATATCTTCATTTTATTTCCAGAAACTTATTGTTGGATAAATATTTGGTAATAAATCTGCTTTCATACATTCATAAAATTCTTTTGGGTAGTAGCAAGAATTCAATCTATGTCATGTAATTGTTATCATGAATTGCATAACTTTGGCATGCATTTTGCTGTAACTCATTTCCTGGGACTATATAAAGTGCCTTTGACATAATGCCATAGAATATTCAAACTGGGAATGAGTGATAGAAATACTCTAGCATAAGTCAGTCTGACTCCTCTCATTTCAGGAAACTGAGGTGCAAGAAGATAAAACTTGCCTAGGATCACACATCTCATTTTCTGACATTTAAGCCTTACTAAAAAAATTACACACTTTAAATGTTGAACCTGTTGATTTGAAAATTGTGATTTTTAACAGCATTATTTTTAATATAAAATAATTACTACACTTAAAGAATTGGACCTGAAATAGATGTGCCCAAAATGTTTGTCCTCAATTCCCTCTTTGGGAGAAAGTGGCTGAAAGTCTCTGGTCATTAAAAATAAATCATCATTCTTTGACGGATACGAAGTTTTCCTGATCTTCAAGATGAAAAATACCATTCCTTCTATATATAATTCAATATTTTTTTTCAACAGGGATAAAATAGTATTCTGGCTAATTGCTCTCTTGTCTACTATAGTTGAGCAAGTGAAATAAGAAACACATTTTAGGATCCCATTGTGATTTTTTTCTCAGCAGCAAAAAATTAAGTATGAAATGAAACAGACCTTTGTCATGTAATTTCACTGATCAGAGGAACTTAGTAAAAACTGGGTGGGCTTCAGTTAAATCTAGTATATTAACCCTTGTTTCATTAGTATTTACAGTCTTTGGGAGTGTTGAACAAATGTACAAATAATGATACTTCCCGAAGTTTAACCACTGAATTTCATGTAAATTCTGCATACAGTTCAAAACTAATGTATTGATTTCAGCCTTCCGATTTTCAAAGTCATACAGAAACAGTAATTACCAGTACATGTCTCCCAGAATGTTAGACACTTGTATATGTATGCAAAATACATTTTGACTTGAAAACAAATTCTAATCTATGAAAATATTTTATCAAGCCATTTTGTACCTTATGAGTAAATTATACATGAATGATAGGATATGTTAAAAAACACTTCAGAGATAGACCCAGTTAATCAATTTACATGAAGAGTTTAAGAAGTAATGTAGCCATCTAAAAATGTTAGTTTTCCATATAGCTGGTCACACTTATTTTACTTTATTGAAATGCCTGATCTTGTGAGAGGATAATATTATAAAACTCAGTTACATAATTTAACTGTCTTCAACTCCCCTTTTTCCAAAAAGCATCCCAGCTAAGGAAGGATGCAGCTATTCTTTTTTTTTTTCTTCTTTCAGCAAATACTAAGTGTGAAAAGCTTTCATCAGATAAAAATCGTTTTATATAATGGAGCATTAAATTGTTTTTCTTTCATTTTCTTCAGACCTACAGCAGCTAAGTTTCCCTATGGATAACCCATGTATCATTTCATGCCTGGTATCTGCAGCCCACTCTCTATCTGGCTTTCAGCAGGTGCTGGGCAGCACTTTTTGGGTTATTTTGCAAAACATCCAACATGGTTTAAATTGTTAAAAAGTGATAAGAATTGTTTCTGCTCTTACCCACTGCCTCTTCTAGTATCCTTAACCCTCATCATCCTCCCTAAAATGTGTCCCCCAACATGCCTATTTACATGGCTCTCAGGAACCAGAGGTTTGCACACCCGTCACATACCAGGTCAATTTCTAACACTGAAGGCTGTTGGAGCAGGGCTGTTCCCTTCCATTTGGAGCTGACTGTAGTCATGTTTCTATCAACACAGCAACTCTTGTATGCAAAGCTTAGACTATTGTCTCGTGGTCCCACCTGCCTTGACTCTGATTGATGTAACAACAGTATCTGTCATAGGGACTGTTCTGCTTGTAGGAGCAAACGATGATACTGTCCTGGGGCACAAAGAAGATGCTGTCCTCGGGCTCAGGGAACTTGGACCTATCCCAGGCAGAGCACTTGACGTCCAAGGCACTGTAGGTGAGGGAACTGCCGGAGGGACAGTAGCCGTCCAGGTATCTGGATGTCTCCTGAGGCCTGCTCTGGACCAGGCTCTGGTATTCTCCTTCTTCTGTGGGGGTGGGGGTGGTGATGGAGCTGGCCATGGGCACCTCCGCCTGTCCCTGGATGGGAGGCTTCCCGCTCAGGGCCGCCTTCTTAGTCAGCTCATCTGAGCTTCCCTTGCCTGACTCCAGGTCCGAAGGGGTCCTCAGCAATTCCACTACCTCCTTGTCCTTGGATTTTCTGAAACAGGGCAACTTGCGGACCCACAGCAGCTCATTTTCGGGCCACTTGGTGCATCCCTCGGTTTTCCTGGCCAGGGCAATGGCCGCAATGCCTGGTAGGCAGATGGCTGGTCCGATGGCCAGGAGGGGAATGTTTCCCAGCGTCTCCCCTTTCATCCCAGAGACTGTGAACATGAAGCCAAAGACCAGAAAGACACTGACCAGGGCCACCACCAGCCCAGTCCTCGGGTTAATGTCATCAGGCCTCATCTTTCATTCCATCCAGGTTGTGGGTGTTTGTGGGCCAAGGAGCAGCGTTCCTCTGCTCTGTCAGAGGCGAAACCACAGTGGGTTAAAAAAAAGAAATGGGAAAAATCACCCCGTCAGTTTCCCACCCACTAACTCTGTCTCTGACTCTACTTGTCAGTCAGTCTTGGTCCTGACGCTGTCTTTCTCCCGGTCTCTCCCCTTTTTCTCTGTCTCCCTCGCATACAAACACCCACCGAGTGGGGTCAAGGAGGTACCTGAGGTCTTCTGCCGTCTCCGAGAGCAGGGAGCGGAGCCAGTCCGAGTCTCCTTAGAATCCTTCACAGCAGCTGTCCCCTTGGCTCTCTCTCGCGTTTCTGGAAGCAAACCCTCCCTGCCTTTTCCCACCGACTCTGCATCCAGGAGGTGGGACGTGTGAGCCTGGCTTTCCCAGCAGTGCCCGTCTGTCCCAGGGCTCTGCGAGCTGAGCGGCAGCGCAGCCCAGCGCCTGGCTCTGCGCGCAGAGCGCGGGTCCTGGAGGGAGGAAGGACTTCGTCTGGGAAAGAGGGAAAGCGGTGCACAAGCCTGGCCTCGTTACATCACTTTCACAGCAAGCTCAGAAACAAAGGCCGAGCGAGCGCGAGCGGGACGGACCCCGGGAGAGAACAACCGCGCAGAAGAGGCTACCTCGGGTCTAGTCGGGGTGCTTGGAGGAGCTGGGGTTCGTTTCACCGCTGCCCGGGAGGGCTGAGCAGGGCTGCTGGACCCGTTCCGTGGACAGGGAGGGTTTGGGGTGCTAGGCTGCCGCTGGCCAGAGGCCGGAATTCGGGGCCATTTGCGCACGGGTCAGCCTGGGCTCTTGAGTCCACGGCCTGAGAGCGAGAGGTGCTAGGCGATGTCCCCTGGGGACATGGACCCTTCTCCAGTGACAAATCTGGGGTGCCCGACCCGACTGACAGCTCTCAGGAGGGTGCTCGACCGCCGCTCTCTCCACCTCGAGGCTCTGGGGCTCGGAGGGCTGAAGCCCCTTTCTGTCTCTGACTCTACTTGTCAGTCAGTCTTGGTCCTGACGCTGTCTTTCTCCCGGTCTCTCCCCTTTTTCTCTGTCTCCCTCGCATACAAACACCCACCGAGTGGGGTCAAGGAGGTACCTGAGGTCTTCTGCCGTCTCCGAGAGCAGGGAGCGGAGCCAGTCCGAGTCTCCTTAGAATCCTTCACAGCAGCTGTCCCCTTGGCTCTCTCTCGCGTTTCTGGAAGCAAACCCTCCCTGCCTTTTCCCACCGACTCTGCATCCAGGAGGTGGGACGTGTGAGCCTGGCTTTCCCAGCAGTGCCCGTCTGTCCCAGGGCTCTGCGAGCTGAGCGGCAGCGCAGCCCAGCGCCTGGCTCTGCGCGCAGAGCGCGGGTCCTGGAGGGAGGAAGGACTTCGTCTGGGAAAGAGGGAAAGCGGTGCACAAGCCTGGCCTCGTTACATCACTTTCACAGCAAGCTCAGAAACAAAGGCCGAGCGAGCGCGAGCGGGACGGACCCCGGGAGAGAACAACCGCGCAGAAGAGGCTACCTCGGGTCTAGTCGGGGTGCTTGGAGGAGCTGGGGTTCGTTTCACCGCTGCCCGGGAGGGCTGAGCAGGGCTGCTGGACCCGTTCCGTGCACAGGGAGGGTTTGGGGTGCTAGGCTGCCGCTGGCCAGAGGCCGGAATTCGGGGCCATTTGCGCACGGGTCAGCCTGGGCTCTTGAGTCCACGGCCTGAGAGCGAGAGGTGCTAGGCGATGTCCCCTGGGGACATGGACCCTTCTCCAGTGACAAATCTGGGGTGCCCGACCCGACTGACAGCTCTCAGGAGGGTGCTCGACCGTCGCTCTCTCCACCTCGAGGCTCTGGGGCTCGGAGGGCTGAAGCCCCTCAGGGCCCCGCTGCCCCGGGACTGCTCTTGGTCTGGGCGCTGGGCGGCAGCGGTACGCAAAAGCCCTCTAGCGGTGGGGCAGGCTGCGCTGCCGGAGGGCACAGGACCGGCGCCCAGGCGGGGTTGGCGGTGAGGGGTGAGTGCCGGCTCTTGTTCGAGACCCGGGGGATCTCCCCCTAGTCTTCCAGACCCGGACCCTGGAGGGGGTGGCTTTGGAGTCCGGATCCCACTCCAACTCGGTTGTGGTGCCAGCCAGCCCAGCTGGGTCAAAGGAGAGGTGCAGTCCAGCCCAATCCCCATCCCACACTACACACCCAACACCCAGCTGGAGAGGAGGAGCGGCCTCGACTGGGAGGGTCAGGCTGACCCAGCCTGCACTGCAGCTCCAGCTGTGGGCCATTCTCTCCTCCCATGCTGGAGCTGGTGTGGTTTCTCTTCCCCCCTGCAGGGGGTATGGATTCCTCTGTTCCCAGGGGCAAGACTGGCTCTGGCTGTGATCTTCAACCATGGTAGATGGACAATAGTGAGGAACAGTCAAAGCACTGCCATGGAAAGAACTTTGACATCCAGCCTTCCCTACTCAAACTATCTGTGTGTTCTTGGGTATGTGACTTAACCTCTCTCAGAATCAATAGACCCATTTGTAAAATGAGACTATTACTACTGAATAGGGAACATTGTGAGGACTAAATAAATGTAAAGTTCCTAGCACAATGCTTGGCACCTGGTCCTTGTTCACAAAATGGTTGAAATATATATTTGCAGAGTATGTCACAGTCATTGTAAGGCATGAACCAAATCATAAGGAGTCTGTCTGTGAAGCTTTGACATTATCCACTAGGCAATGAAGAACCATGGAAGTATTTTAAGCAGAGATCAACACGAAAGTATTTTTGACAGATGACAGCAGGTTAGAGGACAGGCTGGAAGGGGGTAAGTGTGGAAGCAGGGAGACCTGTTAGGAGGACAATTCAGTAAGCTGGGTGTGATATGACATGGGCCTGAGCAATGCAGGGCTAGTAGGGGTGGTTTGAAGAAAATGAATTGAAGGATATTTAAGGGTAGAATCAAGTGTCTTGGATCAAAGGAAGTGAGCTGGCAGTAGGAGTCAGGGTTGACTCCCAAGATTCTCACTCTGTCAACTGAGTAAATCAGGAATCAGACTCCTAATTTCCCACTCCATCATGTTTTTTGTACTTATGGTCATTAGACAGTTTCTGTACCTCTGGATAGATTCATTAATTCTGAAGGAAAGGCAAGGTGCAAAAGGGGAAAAGGTAGAGCAAAAGCAAGAGGCCAGCTGTTTGACAATTTGTATCAGAAAAATCATGGTTTTCCTGGCAGCCCCATCAGGTTGTTTTATTTTTAAATTTTTTTTCTTGCTATTGAAAAAATCAGGGTCTTGTTAGCAAAGAAAAAGAGGAGAATGAATATTGGGGAAGCAACCAGCTATGTGTGCCACACTGTTGAACACATTTACCTTCCTGAAACCCTCTCTTCCTTTGCTTTTATAACACCATTCTATCCTGATCACTCTCCTGACTCTTCTCTGTCCACTCATTTGTGGGTTACTTTGAAAACCCTTCATTTTACTTATTTTTTATTTTTAACAGAGCTCTTAGATGTTGATATGCTGCTGATTATGTCCCTGATTCTCCCCTTTCCTTCTCTTCTCTTCTCACTATATAATAGTTTTAAACACCAACTGGATAGGCTGATTAGTCCAAAATTTATCTCTTTATCCCTCATTTTCAGATTTATAATATCTAACTGCTTGATATCTGTCTGTATGGCACATAGACATCTCAAACTCAGCATGATCTGAACTGAGCTCATCAGATTTCCTTCAAACTTGCTCTTTCTCATTTGACCCTGACTGAGAAAAACATTGCAATTGTTCTCTATTCCTTTCTCTCCCTAAAAACCTACATCCAATAAGCCACCCAAGTCATCATAGTCTTACCTCTTAAATCCCTTGATCTCTTCTACCTGTGAACTGAGACAAACCACTTTACCTCCCAGAGTTTCAGTTTCCTGTGAAACCAGGGCTTTGGATGAGGAGCTAACTGAGGTCCACTGCAGCTCCACTATTCAGTGGTTCTCTGACAGTCATTTGTGCAGGGCTGAATTGACATCAGTGTTGCAAGTGATGGACAACAGTAGTAGACACCAAGCTGGATCCTAAAAAACAGCATTGCTGAACAGAGACCTCCTCTTACTTGTGCAAGCGTCTAATTCCATTCTTTTAAGTCATACAGTTCATCTGCTTAGGCATTAGACAAGACCCATGCATAAAACCACAAGAAACTTCAATTACTGTTTAAATTATAAGCCTCATTCTTAAAGCAGTTCCTTCTTGGAGGTAATTTTAAATGGTCTTCAAACAGCAGGTATACTTGTCCAAGTCAGCAGCAAAAGTGGTGGGGGTGGGAGACATCACTCAGGGTCACAATATTCAGAGACAAAAAAGGCATTCTCACTATTTAATTTCTTGCCTATATAGGCTGATTGCACTAAGAGTTTAAAACCCTAAGCAGTTCTTGCAATGCTATAAACTATACAGGCATATACAAAAGCTTTTCATTAGAAAAGAAAGGACATTCTGTTTGGAATGAAGCTTTGGCATGTAGGTGTTTGAGAAAGAAATACAGAACCTTTTATTTCTGAAATTATAGACATCATGGGATACAGGCATTTGAAGATACCTTATAGAATATTTACTCTAACCCCCCTTATTGTGCAAATCAAATCCAGGAAGATTGTATTCATTCAATATTACTTGAGTATTTATTATGTGCAAATCAAATAAGGGATAGATTATGCCTTGGCAACAAAAGATTTCCAGATCTCAAAGGCCATGTATGCTCATCTGATTTCTATCATGGGTCAGCTGCAGCCCTGCTCCATATTGTATTCACTCTGGGATTCAGGGCTGATAGGACAGCCTCCATTTGGGATTTTGCTGGTCCACTGAGTCCAGGCACCTGGAGGCTCTGTGCTGAGCCTTCACTTTAGCAGTTTCTCTCTGGATCCTACAGCTGTGCCCTTCTCTATAGGCCTGAGAATCTGCCAGAATGATGTACCTCACCCAGAGACCCGTTTCTAGGCCGTATGGTGGCTACCTGGGAATCTAGAGTTTCCTGAGGAAACAGCCCTGTACCTGCTTCCAGGGCTTGTGCACAGCTCTTTGCTAGGTACATCCTCCCAAGAATTGACCATAGTACAGGTGTGCACACCCCTAGGCCTATGGGATGGCTAAGGGACCACTGTGTTTTTGAGTATGGATAAAACAGCATACACATAGGGTGTCTATACTGTGTATGTCATCCCCTTCATGGTTCAGTACAGAGCCAGGGGTAGGAAGAGAAAGTCAGTGTTCATTTTATTCTTGCCTGGGCCACACACATATTAGAGATAGAACTGGTTGGAGGGTTTGGGGAAAGGAGGGAGAAGTCTCAACTCATGTTTTAAAAGGTGCAGTCTAGCTGTTGTGTAGAAAGTAGACTTAAGACAGGTCAAGGGCAGAAGCAGGGAAACCAGTTGGGATACTATTATAATCATCTAGGTGTGAGATAATCATGACTGGGACCAGGGTGGTAGCAGTGGATGTGCAAGAAGTTGTCAGATTCTGGGTATATCTTAATGCAAAGCTAATAAGTTTCGGATGTAAGGGAAACTAGCAGCCAAGGATGACTATAATATTTGAGATTTGAGGTGGGAAATCAGGAACTTGATTCTGGACATGTTCACTTGATATATCAAAGCGGAGATGTTGACAAGAGGTGGTGTGCAAGTTGAGTTTGGGAGAGTAGTCTGGGCTGAAGATAATACATTTGGAGCTCTTGGGGTATGACTAGTATTTAAATCCCTGGGACGAAAGAGATAATTTAGGGAGCAAGCATCAATAGGTTAGAGAAGTTCAAGTACTAAGTACTAAGTCTGGGAGATGAGAAACCAGCATCAGACTATGAAGGATTGACTAGTGAGGTGAGAAAATGAAGGGATGTCCAAAAAGCCAAAAAAAGAAAGCATTTCAAGGAAGGGGTAGTGACTGCATCAGTTCTGCTTCTAGGTCAAGTATAAAAAGGACTAAAAAGTGACTGCTGGACTTAGCAATATGGAGGTTATTGACCATCTTTACAAGAGCAGTTCTGACAGAGTGGATGGCAGTGAAATCTTGATTTAAATGAGCCCAAGAGAGAAGAGAAGAAGAGGAATTGAGGCAGAGAGCAGAAGTAATTCAGAAGAATTTTACTGTTAAGGAAAACAGAGAAAGGAGATGATAGAGGTGGGGGTGTGGGATCAAGAGAGAAAACTTTTTAAAAGATGGGAGCTCTCTTAGCATTTTGCCTATAGAAATATAAGAAATATAAATTTAAATGATACGCCATTTTTTATCCATTAAATTTTCAAATACAAAAAAATAATAACTGTTCTGGGGGGTGCTACACTAAGATGAGTATGCACATGTATCTATGGTGGGAATGTATTACTACTAACTCTTGAATGGAAGTTGAATGGACCCTGAAAAAGTTCATACCTTTTGCATGTTCATTGTTTTGAAAAATATGAACCATGGGTATTATTGATGGAAGGAACTGACCTGGGCACCATCTGAGCAAATTAACCAGCATTTACTAATCTTAAGGTGTAGAAGGAAGTCTTCACACAATTTCACCAACAGGCACATGGTTAGGGAGGGAAATGTCTGAGTAAGGAAAGGTCATATCCATCTTTCTAGAAGCAAAAGAGTTTCTCTCTAGGTTCACTATAAATAAATACATAAATAAATATTATATATATATATATATGGATATATATATGACTTTTTCATAAAACAGATCCAGGCCTGCTTATAGCCTGGCCTCATGTCTGCTGAAACCACCTGATATAGCAGCAGGGCACAGTTCATGAGGCATAAGTAAAATCTTCCTCATCATCCTCAGACTCTCCAGGCCCACACAACTGTCTAAGTACTTTCTCTAACTCAGTGCTATGGAAATAGAATGGGGGCCAATTTGTGGAAGACTCCGAAAGTTGAACAAAGTAAGATCTTAGATAAGCTATTGCTGCACTGTCCAAATACAATAACCATAATAACCTACTTAAATTTAAATTAATTAAAAATCAGATTAAATTAAAATCAGTTTCTCAGTTGTATTATCCACAGCTCAAGTGCTCAGTAGTTATAGTAGTTACTTCTATATTGTACAGTGCAGATATAAAGGATTTCATCATCACAGAACATTCTCCTGGGTAGTGCTGAGTTGTAGGGTTTATTTTATTATGACTCACTTGGCTCAGGCATTATGATTCTAGCAGTCTTCCCTGTGGAATAATCAGTGGCACAAGAAAATTTATGTACAAAAAAAGTTTTTACAATGTTCCA